AAACCAATCAGAACGAAGACACAACATACCAGCATCTCTGGGACACATTTAAAGCAGTGTCTAGAGGGAAATTCATAGCAATAAATGCCCACATGAGGAGCAAGCAAAGGTCTAAAATCGACACCCTACTAGGAAAATTGAAAGAGTTAGAAGAGCAACATCAAAAAAACTCAAAAGCTAACAGAAGATAAGATAACTAAGATCAAAGCAGAACTGAAGGTGATAGAGACACAAACAACCATTCAAAAAATCAATAAATCCAGGAGCTGGTTTTCTGAAAAGATCAACAAAATAGACAGGCCACTAGCCAGACTAATAAAAAAGAAAAGAGAGAAGAATCAAATAGATGCAATAAAAAACAATAAAGGGGATATCACCACAGACTCCACAGAAATAGAAATTACTCTCAGAGATTACTACAAACAACTCTATGCCCATAAACCAGTAAACCTGGAAGAAATGAATAAATTCTTGGACACCTGCACCCTCCCAAGCCTAAACCAGGAAGAAGTTGAAACCCTGAATGGACCAATAACAAGACTGGAAGTTGAGACAGCAATTAATAGCCTACCAACCAAAAAAAGCCCAGATCCAGATGGGTTCACAGCTGAATTCTACCAGACATACAAAGAGGAGCTGGTACCACTTCTTCTGAAACTATTCCAAACAATGCAAAATGAGGGAATACTTCCCAAACCATTTTATGAGACCAACGTCATCCTGATACCAAAACCCGGCAGAGACTCAACAAAAAAAGAAAACTTCAGGCCAATATCCATGATGAACATAAATGCAAAAATCTTCAACAAAATACTGGCATACCAATTGCAATAGCACAACAAAAAGTTTATCCATCATGATCAAGTAGGCTTCATTCCAGAGATGCAAGGCTGGTTCAACATACACAGGTCTATAAACATAATCCACCACATAAACAGAACCAAAGACAAAAACTACATGATTATCTCAATAGATGCAGAGAAGACTTTCAACAAAATAGAACAGTGCTTTATGCTAAAAACTCCCAATAAAGTAGGTATAGATAGACTGTATCTCAAAATCATAAAAGCTATGTACAACAAACCCATAGCCAATATCATACTGAACAGGCAAAACCTGGAAGCATTCCCTTTGAAATCAGGCACTAGACAAGGATGCCTTCTCTCACCACTCCTATTCAATATAGCATTGGAAGTTCTAGCCAGAGTAATCACACAAGAAAAAGAAATAAATGATATTCAATTAGAAACGGAGGAAGTCAAATTGTCTCTATTTGCAGATGATTGTATATTTAGAAGACCCTACCATCTCAGCCCAAAATCTCCCAAAACTGATAAGCAATTTCAGCAAAGTCTCAGGACGCAAAATCAACGTGGAAAAATCACAAGCATTCCTATACACCAATAACAGACTAAAAGAGAACCAAACCAAGAGCAAACTCCCATTCACAATTGCTACAAAGAGAATAAAATACCTAGGCATACAACTAACAAAGGATGTGAAGGACCTCTTCAAGGAGAACTACAAACCACTGCTCAATGAAATAAGAGAGGACACAAACAGATGGAAAAACATTCCATGCTCATGGTTAGGAAGAATCACTAACATGAAAATGGCCATACTGTCCAAAGCAATTTACAGATTCAACGCTATCTCCATCTAGCTACCAATGACCCTCTTCACAGAAGTGGAAAAAAACACCTTAAACTTCATATGGAACCAAAAGAGAGCACACACAGCCAAGTCAATTCTAAGCAAAAAGAACAAAGCTGGAGGCATCATGCTACCTGACTTCAAACTATATTACAAGGCTACAGTAATCAAAACAGCATAGTACTGGTACCAAAACAGAGATATAGACCAATGGAACAGAACAGAGGCCTCGGAGGCAACACCTCACATCTACAACCATCTGATCTTTGACAAACCTGACAAAAACAAGCAATGGGGAAAGGATTCCCTGTTTAATAAATGGTGTTGGGGAAACTGGCTACCCATGTGCAGAAAACAGAAACTAGACCCTGTCCTGACACCTTAAACTAAAATTAATTCCAGATGGATTAAAGATGTAAACGTAAGACCTAACACCATAAAAATCCTAGAAGAAAACCTACGCAAAACCATTCAGGACATAGGCATAGGCAAGGACTTCATGACTAAAACACTAAGCATTGGGAACAAAAGCCAAAATAGACAAGTGAGATCTAATTTAACTCCAGAGCTTCTGGACAGCAAAAGAAACAGTCATTAGAATGAACTGGCAACCAACAAAATAGGTAAAATTTTTTGCAATCTACACATCTGACAAAGGGCTAATATCCAGAATTTACAAAGAACTAAAATAGATTTACAAGAAAGAAACAAACCCATTCAAAAGTGGGCAAAGGATATGAACAGACACTTTACAAAAGAAGACATATATGAAGGCAACAAACATATGAAAAAATACTCATCATCACTGGTCATTAGAGAAATGCAAATCAAAACCATATTGAGATACCATCTCAAGCCAGTTAGAATGGCAATCATTAAAAAATCTGGAGACAACAGATGCTGGAGAGGATGTGAAGAAATAGGAGCACTTTTACACTGTTGGTGGGAGTGTAAATTAGTTCAACAATTGTGGAAGACAGTGTGACGATTCCTGAAGGACCTGGAAATAGAAACACCATTTGACCCAGCAATCCCATTACTGCGCATATACTCAAAGGATTATAAATCATTCTATTATAAAGACACATGCACATGTATGTTCATTGCAGCACTGTTTACAATAGCAAAGACCTGGAACCAACCCAATTGCCCATCAAAGATAGACTGGACAAGGAAAATGTGGCACATATGCACCATGGAATACTATGCAGTTATAAAAACAATGAGTTTGTGTCCTTTGTAGGGACATGGATGAATCTGAAAACCATCATTCTCAGCAAACTGATACAAGAACAGACAATCAAGCACCGCATGTTCTCACTCATAGGCAGGTGTTGAACAATGAGAACACATGGACACAGGGAGGGGAGCATCCCACACCGGGGTCTGTTGGGGGGGCCAAGGGAGGGACTGGGGGGAGGTGGGGAGGTCAGGGAGGGATAACATGGGGAGAAATGCCAGACATAGGTGACTGGGGGATGGAGGCAGCAAGCCACATTGCCATGTGTGTACCTATGCAACAATCCTACATGATCTGCACATGTACCCCAGAACCTAAAGTACAATTAAAAAAAATTTTTTTTGAAAAAAAAAAGAGACACTTGTTCAAATTCCTGATGATTTGTCTGTTCCTGCTGAGAAAGATGGACCAAGGAGTCAATCATTGGTCCTCATGGATTTGAGCCAATAAGCTCCTAATTGACTGGCATGCATTTAATGCATGTATTTAATGGGGAAGAATCACTATAGGATTCTTGAAGACAAAAGGAAGTGGCTATGAACTCCATGCGGAGTACAGGACAATGTGCTGGTCCCCACTCCCCCAGGGAGTAGTATTCATGGCTGAGTCCTGAAAATCAGGAAGAAAGACTAATTCAAGGACAACCCCACAGGGTTCCTAGTTTGTGCTCTCCTCCTCCAGTGCAGCCCAGGGCCAGTGTTGCACCATAGTTTCCTGGCAGAGCTAGAAAAGTGGGGAAGAAGCTGGGAGGGAGGTGGAGGGGGCACTCAGATGGCTATACCGATCCTGGCAGCAGCTACCATGCCTTGTGGTTCTACATGATTGAAGCTTTAGGTATGCCAAGCTGGAGAAGGCCTTTACTGTTATTAGTCATTTAGCCAATTTAGCCAAAACAAGGTCTAAACTGACACTTCTCCAGGACCCTCATCCACTTATGAATATACACTGCTCCTAGAAAGCTGATGTAGAAGGTGCTATCTGCATAGAGAAATTAAGAGCTCAGACTCCCAAGCCAAGCTGCTTCTCTGCTGGGCCACCTTAGACAAGTTAATTAACCACTCTGCCTTAGTTTCCCCATTATGAAAGATGGAGCAAACAATAGCAGTATCCATCTCATGGAGTTTGATGACAGCTAAGTGACTATATGTAAGGTAGACCAATGCCTCACACATAGTAAGTGCTCAATACACATTATTATTCTAAACCATGCACCCCTTTTACAGCTTGCTTAGAGCTCACTAACTGCTTTCAGTTTCTCATTCAAATTTCATGACAACCCAGAGAGGCCTGGCAGAAACCATTATCCCCATTTTACAGATGGAAAACCTATGGCTCAGAGAACTTACATGATTTATCCAAGGTCAAGGTTATGAAACTCATAATTATCAGAGGGGGCACCTGAAACCAGGGATTTGGGTTTCAAGCTTACACATAACAGAGCTTACTTAGGAATTTTGGCTAAAATGCTAAAACAAATACTTCCTCTTTAACCCTGCGTCCACCTATGTATCCAGCTGGAGATCATTCATAGATCATTCATCCGAGATGTGGGCTCACAGAGCGGCAATGGGTTTTTAGCACTCAGCGGATCCAGGTACCTTGTCAGGTACCAGGCCATTCCCAGGAGCCGATCCTGTCCCTTTTCCATTTACTGTCTTGAGTTTGAGGCACTCCACAGTCACATGGAATAGAACCAAAGCCAGCAGGAAAAAAAAAAAAAAAAAAAAAAAAAAACCCAGCTTTGGGGAACCTGGAGTTAGCATCTTGAAAACATATGAGTTTACCACATAGAGACTCACCAAAAAGATTCCTGAATTTCCACGTCATGACAAGCAGCTCTATAATAAGCTCTCTTTGGTGAATAAAAGTTTATCTGAAACCACCAATTAAATTTCACACGCCCAAAAAGCAGACTAATCACAAGTTTTAAAGTGGCCAATGATAGGATCATCTCAGAGCTGAAGAACCACTTATGTACTCTCAGCCAGTTGGGGAATGTTACCCGAGCAGGTTTGGATTGCGCAGATTTGCAAAGAGAACAGGTGAAAAGAGAACCGGTGACAGCTGGTGGGTGATTATTCACAGAAACTCCTGATTCAGACAGTAGTAAGTCACATGAAAGGGAAGGATAGAAAAGGAGACGCCGAAAAAGCATTTGGCCCTTGAATTCTCTGACGAGGAGCAGATGGATGTAATCAATTACTTAAATAATTCACAAGGGAGAAAGGCTGCTTTCACCTGAATTATCCAGATAATTTTAAAGATATAGTTTGAGGGAAGATTTCCTTTTAATCCGCACAAACTGCTTATATTTCCCCGGCTCATCAAATAATTTACTTCCACGTGAGCAGGCCTGGCTGACAGAGCTACGACTGCCATAGATGTAACTGCTCCTGGTGATGTCTTTTCTCTTACATTTGTACTTCAGGGATGAATTGGTTTCAAGCCGAGTCTTTTTTCCTCCTTTGTGTCCTGGTAAGCTTTTCCTCTGGAAATAAACTGGGCTGGCTGTCCCTTTGATCCCATTGTGCGATTCTATCTCGTTCATCAAGCTGTGGCACCTGACCTGTTACAAGGTTATAGAAAATAGTACAATTTGAGCATTTCAAAGTGCAGGTTTTCTATTTTAAAAAGGGATATTTGACAGCCACCTTTAGATCCACTTGCTTATCGGGGTTGCTTTTTAACAAATTTTTGTGAAAGCATACCATTTATTCTCCAAAATTGGAAAAAATGAACAATGGTGAGTTCATATCCCATTGAATATGGCTTGAAACATCCAAATCTCCAGCAAAGACTGATAGAAAGAAAGTATCATCATATCAGTGGCATCAGAAAATAGCCCAGGCCTGAGCTTCCACTGCCTGCAATAAAGGTGACCACTGCAGTTGGGATGAGAGCTCAGGTTCGTTTTCCAGTACGGGGAACATAGCTTCTTCCCTGATCCATCCGTTGTGTGGGAGGATTAGAAGCAACACAGACAGAAACTTCTTGATTCCATCTTCATCAGCAAGCTTTTACTGATTACAGGAAATGGCTGTTCACTGGGTGAATGCATAACATATCTGGAGACAGAGGTCCTAAGATGATTCAGAACCCCTCCCCCGAGACTCTGTCAGTGGCATGAGTGCCTTCTCCCCATACGAGATTCTAATCACCTACCCTTATCATTTCATTTAAAACAGACAGCCTCATAATTTTGGGCAACATAAATTATCAAACATCTAATGTGGAAATACTGTGTAATAAATATGTTTAAATTATAACACCAATGCACAATCAACAAAGCCAGATGTTTCTCCCCTTTTGCTTTGGAATGAGATACAATTCCACTCTGAGTTAAATATTTGTCTGTTTCTCGTCAAATATCATTTTAACTATATTGATTCTACTCATTTAAGAACACTCTAATACTTTTCCTTCATCATTTTTGTTTAGTGTTTTGGAACCCACTCTAGTAGATTCTAACCCTGAGAACAGTCATTTTAGATGACATTGCAGTTGCCATTCAAATTTGCACAAAGCACTTGGTGAGCAGTTCGGGCCTTTGCTACCCTGAGAATCCACGCTGCAACTGACTGTTGACAGTCACACTTTTGCTTTCATTTGCTTGTGTCTCTCATTATAAGTCACCATGTTTTCATTCAGTTTGTAGAGTGCCCCTTTTTAGCCTCTAGCTGCTGGATGACACCATCTGTGATTGCCAAGGAAATTAAATTAAGTTAAAATTCAATCAACAGAAGATTGTTGCCTCTATGACTTTACTAGGAACCTTGAGAGCATAAGCGTCTAAATGCCTCTCTCTTAATACAGAAGCAGACCAACCCTGTTATAGCAGCATTGGCCCATGGTTTAAAACTCCCTCAGAGCCAGAGACCAGTCACTTACCCTTTCTATCCCACCTCAGATGGCCTGCAGCCAACAAGAGACAAATTGCTTTGCTTGTGTAGTCTTTGCTCAGCTTAGGGAAATCTTTGTTTCTTACCAAAAAGGAGAAGAAAATCTTTAGATTTATGCAAAAAGAAAAGATGATTAATTTGCACAATATCATATATACTACACCCAAATAAATTCTAGATGGATCAAAGGTTTTTATTTTACAAATAAAAATAAGCCATAAAAATTGATCATTTTATAAAATAAAGTAATACATTGACTCAGGAATTTATAAGCATTAAAGACCCCAAGAAAAGTATTGATAAGAGTTCAACATAATAAATTTGAAAAAGTCAAATCAAAATAATATCATCAACAAGATGCAAACGCAAATAACAAACTACAGGAAAACATTTGTAATACGTATGACAGGCAATGTATCTTAAATGGACATATACACACAAACACTCATATGCAAGTGTATATATATAAACTTTAATAAGAAAATAAGTAAAAACATCTCATTTATGGTCATAGGACATTAATAGCAATTAAAAAATTAAAGACATACAAAAGACCAAAAATCCTTTCAAATTCACCTACTTAAAACAAAAAAACAACACAGGTACACACATACACCTTCCAAAAACAATGATAAACTATTTTTTAATGTAGCAAACTAACAAAGATTCAAAAACACAATTGTTAATCTGATGATAATGAAGTAAAGTAAGAACTCTCACACATTGCTGGTACACTGTAACATGCTACCATCTTTCCAGAAGTTACCTTGGCAACATGTATGGAACTTTAATAAATTTATCCCAAAGAAATAATCACAGATATTCATAGCAATTTTTGTGAAAGAATGCTTATTGCAGCCTCATTCATAACATCATATTATAAATAATGTAAATGTCAATCTAGCTACATAAATCATATTACAAACATAAAATGAAATATGTACTTTCTGAAAACATGTAATTATATGAGGAAATGTTTACCGCACAATGCTATTAAAAGCAGGGTGAAAATTATGTATGCATACACATATTTATATGTGAAAATATTTATACAGATTCTGTTTAATACTATATAAAATATTTCAACATTATACATTGTATATATAATATATGCATAAATACATATGAAATCACAGAAAGAGATTGAGAAAAGAAAAATGACAAAATATGAACAGTAATTATTACTGAGTGCTGGGAAGATTTGTCATTTTAATAGTCCTTCTGTTTCTGTGTTTTTCAAAAATGTCTAAAATAAGACGGAATTACTTTATAATTTAATAAGTAATAAATGTTATTTAAAAAATAATAACTTGCTTTTACTGTCCTCCCAAATGGCAGAGGTCTTAATCTCTCTTGCTGTGTAGTGAGGTATATTTCATTACCATTTCCCATAACCACATTATAATTATCTTCTTAACCAGTTCATAACAGGAAGTGCAAAGACTCGCAGTAAGGCAAAATACCAGTAAAAATTTCCCAAGGGAAAGAACTAAGTGGTGGAGCCAGGAAATGTGGTTTGCATTATCATATGTGGCTTCAAGTTTTGCCTCCCAGTCCTCAGTTCTCCTCCGGGCCTGCCCCTCAACCCTGCCAGTACTTTGTCTAAGCAAATGTGCTCAAATTTGGAAAGGAGACATTGCCATCCCACAATCTGCTCATACTTAATAGCTTGAACTTACACTGCCCCAAACCCAAGGTATTCATTGGTGTACCCCAGACATAACATTCAGACAGGGATGTGTTCAGAAAGACCAAGAAGAGTTAATTATTTTAAATTCTAGTACCGCCCCTCAAAAAAATAAAACCAGAATTATCGTACAAAGGACTATTTGTTCAGCATTTAGAATGCACTGTCATGCTACTAAGTGCTTCATACATATTATCTTGTTTATATTCTTAAATCAGCCCTGCAAAGTAGGCAGAAATATCCCCATTTTAAAGATAAGGTAGTTGAGGCCCAAGGAAGATAAGTAATCTCATTTACTTAGATAAGTTTTCCATAAGCATAAATCTAAATTTAACTCAATGCCAGTGCCTATACTCTAAAACCACTGCACCATATTTTCTCCAAATAAGATGAAAATCATGCTTTTAAAACCAACCTGGATCCAAGCCCTACTACTGGATTTTTATATTTAGAAAGGAGATTCCTTTATTTTCATCTTTCCCCCTTCTCTTTTTCAGTAGATTGTTACTTCACATGATTTGTGGCTTCGTTCTCCAAACCTCCCATCAACTGTTAATCAAAACTTAGTATCAGAAACCTACATATTAGATACCCAAAAGAAACTGAAAACTTCATGTAATTTAGGAGAATGAATTGTTGTTATTCATATTTCATGGATGCATTCACTAAGTCTCAAAACATTTAAGGGAACCCCCTTAAATTACATAGCTAACAAGTAACAGAGAAGAGCCTGGACTCCAGGTGTCTTGCCCCTGTTCTGAGAGCCATCGGTTAGGCAACATTTAAAGTTTTCACTCCAAACATGAAAGTTCTTGTTCCATAGCTGGTGATCTTTAAACCATTTATATATGACTTGCCTTCCATATGAATAAAACTAGCTATTTTAGAAAGCTAATATTCTTTCTGCATTTTTTCCATGACTTTTCCTCCATGATAATAGCTCTGTACCAGGCACTGCTGTGAGTTATTCATGCAACTTCGCTTGTTTAATCCTCTTTAAAACTCTAGGAAGCAAAGTACTATTATTATACACACTTCACAGATGAGGAAACTGAAGCCCAGGGATTAAATAACATGCAAAAGTGGCAGAATTGGGATTTAAACCCAGGCAGCCTGATGCCAGAGTCCATGTGCTATCCCACTCTACTATCTCTCTATACAAAAGAAGAGCGTAGAAACTGCACCCTGAAACCACTGGAGCTATTATTTTAGTACTATTTACAACATCATTGCTTAAAGACATGGAAAATTTGGAGCGAGTCCAGGGATACATAATGAAAATTATTAATGTTTGAAAAATGAAACATATGAGGAAAGGTTACGAGGAGTGAAATTTTTTAGGCTTAAAAAGAGAAGTCTGAAGTGGAAGTTAATAACTCTTCAAAAGAACAAAGGATTATTAAGGAGGGGATGGTAATCAGAGTTTATTCCTACTCCACAGAGGATTAAGTAAGAGAAAACCAGCTTAAATTGCAGGAGGAAGACTTTAAACCAGCTAAAAGGAAGGACTTCCATTAGTTAGCATTCTATCAACTGTGAATTTCAATTTAACCAGCCCTCCTTATTTTGCCAGTTCAAGCATTATTCCTAATAAGGTGAAGAATTCCCTTTGAATCACCAATGACTAAATTATACTCAGGACAATATTAGTTTCAAATGTGTTTTATTTTTCAATTATTTGATAATCAGATACCCATACAAGGCTAATATGAAAATTATCAAATGAGAATATATGATTATCAGACAATATGATTCCCAGACCTATCTGCTTAAAAAGAGTTTACATGACCCACAACTCCAGGTAGATGTGGCATCACTTTCTTGAGCCCTCTGAATAGAGGCAGACACCAATTTGTCTGTATACTTTTGATGGAGTCTGTCCCAGAAGCAAGGAAGCGAACTGTGTTGACCTCTTATGGTTCTTTCCTGCTTCATGATTCTATAACCCCCTACATTTGGTCATTCATCCCAATAAAATCT